AGGAAAAAAAAAAAAAAAAAAAGGCTGAAGAAAACAGTATCCTTTGGATGGCATATTCTTGCAAGGAATTGAAGGGATGAAGTTATATGCATTTTTAATAACACCAAACTTCAATGAAGTCATCAGTTTTTCTTTAAGCCAAATGAAAAAGCACAAACTAAAATCATTTGTGTTAACTTCACGTTTTCCTTCCTCCCTCCCTCCCTCGCTCCCTCCCTCTCTCTTTCTTTTCTTTCCTTTCTTCTTGGCTCTTTTAGTCAACAGAGAAAAGCTAAATGATATGTGAGCCTTGAACCTCTAGGTGGAGGTAGTATACAACTTCACAATCACAAACAATAAAATAAAAGCTTAATTTGTTAATCAACTTTTTATATTATTGATTTGGAGATCTTTTGTTCTTAAAATAATTACTGTCATAAAGAGTACTGATTTTAAACATGTAACTAAATATTTTGCCTATGTTCTACAAACATGAAATATTTTTTTGCTTTTAGTAATTTCATCATAGTTGTAGTCTTTTCTGATTTTTTTATGACCACTGGACATCTTTTATTGATTGCCTTTAGTATGTTTTTAAAATACCAGGGGACTTAAAATATAAGATTCATAAGAATGTTCATGTAACCACTCCTTTTTTTTTTTTTTTTAGAAAAAAATGTTTATTATATCTTTATTTCCCTTTTAACTTTTCATTTTTCTGTCCAATCTGTTGTCAAAGTATGAAAATATTTCCTAGAATTGAGAAGAAATAAATCTCTTTATAAAGACTCCTTTTAACTGGAGAAAAGTCTCATTTGACATCTTAATACTGACTTTAGAAAGAAACTGTGATATGTGATTCAAAAAACCCACTTTTGACTGAAAAGCTCTATGTGAAACTTTATGACTGTCTTAGTGATTGGTTCGAAAATTAGCTTAAGACATGTAGGAACTTGAGGATGGAGGGTCTGAACTAATTTGCTTACGTAATTTTTAAACATTTATCTTTATATCAGTGTTTTAATATTTTCCCTGCTTTCAAGACAATATTTTAAATTGGTTATCAGTTTTTGATGTATTGTGACTATTTTTAGCTACTAGCTGTGTAATCATTTAAATGCAAATGGACCCTGTCAACGATGTTTTACATAATACACCTTGCTCAGAATGCAGATTACATAGAATCTTTTATTTTAAAGGAGCGAACACACTTGATCAATTAATAATCATTGAAAATCCTCAGCTTAACCATATTTCCCTCTATTAGTTTTCTGTTCTGTATTTGACCAGTAATGCTCATGCCAGTATTTCATTCTATTATATAAAAGATTCTCTATTTACTTATTTTTGGCCAGTAATTTAAATCTCTGAATCATTCTGGGGGAAAATGGCAGTGTAGAGGGACATTCTGTTTTATACAGAATGCTCTGCATCAATTTGCTGGATGTCACAAAATCAGGTCTCTGGCTTTCTGATGGAAAAATAATGGAGAAAATCACTGTTTGTAACCCCCTTTTTGGTGATATTTTAAGACCATTTGTTCTTTCCACAAATTTATCACACACACACACACTTACAAAACTAGCTGGGCGTTTGAATCTTTAGGTGACCCCTGTCTCTTTCCTCAAAGTCCTGCCAGGAGGGGCCTCGACCTCCTAGGCTGTCTGCAGCTCTGAACGTGCTGCTGATCCTTTCAGAGCCCACCTCCACCTCCTGGCTCCACGCAGCCTGGAACACAGCCAGCAGAGTTCCCCTGATGTCTGTATTGCGCTTGGCCATTGGGTGGAGGTATACCCAAAGTAAGGAAGTCATCTTGGCTTAGAAAGAGAAAAAGACATAAAGGGAAAAAGAAAGGCACTCATGAGGAAGGCAGAGAAATTTAGTGTCTCCAAGGGAGCAAGTTTTTTCTGAATTAATATTCAAATCACTGAAGAATTATTTCAGGAGACCCTTTGATTATTGTAGTTAGAATAACATTACTAATAGTATCTGCTTGTGATAATCTGCAATCATAATATATTCTAGGGAATAGATTTTAGGAAAAAAAGGGATAGTCCATACACATTGCTAAGGGGTAGATACCTGAAATAATTTTGACGTCAAACTTTCTAATAATCTGGTATTTAGTATCCATTTTCCACAGCATATTTACCTTCCCCCATAGACATATAGGTATTTATCGAAGTGAAAAGAAGAGTGGGTTGCACTAACAGTTTAGGGAGCCTTAAAATTCAAATCAAGAAAGAAAAGCATATTGGCACTTGCAAAACACATATGTATATGTATCAGCTTATAAAATTATCTGTTTAGGTTGGTGCTGGCTAACATCCAAGAAGATGGGCCTGAAAATAACATTACCATCTTTACAAGAATTCTAGACAGACTTCTGGATGGTTACGATAATCGGCTGAGACCAGGACTGGGAGGTAAAAATAGTTTTACCTTTTTTAAACTCTCACGAAATAATACCTTTAGAAGTTAAGATAAATATTTATATTTTAATACATTTTATGTATAAATGCATTTCCATGTATTAAAACACCGTAGATAACAGAAAGTAAGGTGTATGAAATAAACATTTTCTGTGATTCCTTTTATGCATACACACAACATATTTAACATATCTTTTATAGAATTGCTCAAATCCTATAAGAGCCCTGACCTTCTGCATGAGTAGTTTTAAGTTAGTTCATTTACAATGGTTAAATTTTGTAAACTTGGAGTATGTGAAAGGGCCACATTATTGGGCAGAAATGCTTGTGTAATATCTGGTTTCCTTCATCACATTTTATAGGTGTCCATTTTAACATCAGTACAGATATGCACAAATGGGTTACATAAATAAAAGAGTATCTGTGTTGTATTTCAACACACACTCTTTTTAGGATTCTGTGATATTTCTTATACAGCATGTGGCATTTCTAAAATGCAGCACAGGTTTGGCATTCTTGGAACTTTCAAAGACATTTAGATTCACGTTAACTGTAGGCCTAAATTTATTGGGCTGTGGCAGAGTTTGACTTGAAATGTAAACATTAATTTTTCAACTCAGAAAAGCAACCTGTTTTTATTCATAAAGGTAAAGAAAATTAGGCTTGGCTAATATGTTAAATTTTAATTATATTTCAGCATAGCTATATGATACTAAGGAGATTAGGTGAAAGAAGGCTAAATGTGTAATTCTTAAAGGGCTTTTGAGTTAAAATATCATTACTTATCCCTTCTAATGTGAGATATATATCTGTATGCGCACATTTATCACACGTGTGCCGTACTTACTAGGGTGTTCAATTTAACAGTTAATTCAAAATTAAGAGAAATTAGTTGAACACTTGATAGTAATCAAAGATTTATATAGTTAGCCTGGTTATTACCAGGTTGGCAATTTAGCAATATTAAGTTGAATAAGTACCTGGATGTTTACGTAAATACTTTCTTTGAAAAATGTAGGTGGTTGTTAATTTAATATATATTTAGCAATTGTACGATTTGCATTGTCTAGGAATCAGAAAGAGCCAGGAAAAATACAATGTGTTTTTAAATAATAGGTCATTTAATTGCTATTAGTTTTTGACTTGAATCCTGAGTATTACCTTGCATTTTAAGAGAGAAATGCTGAGAAGGAACAATGTTCAGAAATATGACACTGTATCTCTCAGAAAGAATTCAATGGACTAATCTACAGTTAGTTTTCTAAAAGGAAAGACTGAAAGGAACAGACCATTTCCTTAGTAATTAGTATGCTTAATGTGCATGAATATAAGGTATTACTGTCCATGTTAGCATATATGACAAAGAGCTATTGCCAAACTCATGCAACAGAAATATGCCTAGCATAAGGCTTTCACAATTCATGATGGTGGTTTGAGAGTTAGATTGCACTGAGGCAGATATTTTCCCTAAGCCATGAATTGTATCACTTTTAAATAAATTATGTGCTGTCCAAAACCAAAAATATTTGAGCTAGACCTTGGATTTTGTCTCTGAGGCTTTAGGAGAAATTATTACACTGTGGCTGTATGGCTGGTAGTAGAAACTACCTGTGGCAGGGCATGGATTTTGCCATTTATCTCTTTATATTTCTTTTGTAATGTCTCTTACATTCATTTTTACTTCCATTGTCAAGATTCAAATATAGATCCTGTCACCATTTTATTTGGGTTAATGTAATAGATTAAGTGGATCTTCTTGACTAGTGTTTTCTGGTTTCCCAAACTTTATCTGATGTTTTACATATGCTAATATTATTAGTGTTCTTTTATTCTTACAATGCTTTTATATGCCACTCTCTTTTCTTGATCAGATGCATTCCGTGGCTCCCCATTGCCTTCAGTAGACGGTGGTGAGGAGTAGTGGAAAGAATATGGGCCTTGGAGGCAGATAGATCTAGATTGGAGTTTCTTCTCCACCCACACACAAAACTGTGCCTTTCCCAGTTAATCTCAGTTTCCTTTATTTAAAATAGCCATGATATATCTCCCTTTCTACTTCATAGGGCTGACGAGAGGATTACATAAACCAAAAGTGTACACAAGCTCGTGCCACACACTGGCCATTCAACAAAGATCTATTTCCTCTCTCTTCCCTTAGCTGTCTAAGTTGCCGATCAGGGTTTTCTACAATCTACTTCTCTGGCTCCATTTTCCCTTTGCCCTCCCATCCATTCTGCACTTCAAATGCATCTATTCACTTTCCTTTGCTAAACCATCCACGTCTTCTGCCTGGGCCCTTGGGCATATTATCGCCCCTCACTGGAATTACCTTTCCTCTTCCTCTCTGAGGATCTAAACCTTACCTGTTCTATAAAGACCACGTCAACACTGGTCCTCTTTAGTAAAGATTTTTCTTAACTGAATTGAAGCACCCAGATTCAATTTTCTCTCTCTTGAATTTCTTTAGTAGTTGTTGGCTCTGTATCTCATTTGGTACTTATTATGTGCTATCTTGGATTATTTATTATGTTTTTATGTGTCTCTTGTTACTTTAACAAGATTGCAAGCTCATTGAGACAAGATATTGTATCATAAATCTGTGTGCTTTCAGCAACTAAATATTGATTTGCATATTGTGGCCATAAAATAAATGTTGATGGCTTGATTAACTTTTCTGTGACCAGTTAATCATCTGTAAAATGGAGCTACTCATACCTGGCTGACCATGTTCAAGTGATATGTTGAGCATCTTGCTGCAGAATTGCAGTGTTGCTTGGTGAAGAGAACCTAACTTTAGACTGTGGGGATTTAGGGAAAATCCTGGTTCTGGTACTGAACAATCCTATGACCTTTGAAACTTAGCCTCTCTGGGTCCACATTTGTCCTGTATAAAATGATGTTACTAATAGTAACATTCTTAGAGTTTTGATGACTATTAAATACAGTGACATATGCAAAGAATTTAGCACAGTGACTAGCATATAGTAGAGAGTTAATAAATAGCAGTGGCTAAAAGACTTCTACAAATTTTCTAAATGTACAGTTGTTAATGTAAATTATTCTTATGGTTACTTCTGCATCCACAGTTCTTAGCCTGAATGTTCATATGTCATTCCAAAGAGAAAGTTCAGGGAAATTACTTGTATCATTATGTTCCAGAAATTAATAAGGGAAAAAATGGGTTTGATTCTATTTTAATATATCAAACTGAACATCTCTATTGATGAGTAATTTGGATAATTAATCTCAATTATCACTTTCTTTCCTTTGTGACTAATATAAATGAATAAATAGGAAAGAGCAATCAGTTCTGGACCGTTAGAAAAATTGTTCTTTTCACCTGGCTGTGCCACTTGCTAGATCTTATCTTAGGCAAGGTACTTAGACAACCTGAGCTTTGGCATTTTCTCTGGGAATATGGGAATCATTGTATTTTATTCTGAGAGAAGGAGGGTAAATTGGGATTCACATATATAACAAAGGTTATACAATATACCCAGTGATACAATTTTAAGATATTTAATGATTAATAATAGATCCTCTTTAAAAGTTAAGTCAGATCATGCTGCTCAACTGCTTGAAACCCTGCAGTGGTTTCTACTTCATTCAGAATAAAGCCCAGATTTCTGTGGTGGCCTCCAGCACCCTGCAGGACCTGTCTCTCTGTTTTTCCTCTGACCTCACCTCACACGACTCTCCCTGCCAATGCTGCCGTCACACTGGCTTCCTTGCCTGTCTTTGAACGCACCAGGATGCTCCTTGGAGCCTTTTCCCTGGATATCCATTGATCTCTTCTTCCCAATGAGGCCTACCCTGACCAACCAAATACATGCAAGATAATTTATATCTTTATTCATGTTATGTTCATTGCTTATTTTTGGTCTCTTTTGCTACTACGTAGGCTCACTGAGGTCAGGGATTTTAGTCCATTTTGTTCTTTGGTTCCTATCATCAGTAAGTACTCAATTAAATATTTCTTGAATAAACATTTATTGCATTTATTTATTTTATTTTATTTTACTGTGCTACTGGGGAAAAGAATCAACTATAGATAGAAAGTATTCTTAAAATTAATGGAGCAGTTGTTATTTAATTACCACCTTAGACTTTCACTATTAGCATCAGCATATCTAAGGCTGAGTTCTTGTGAATTGGAACCATTGTTACACCAGTTACTCAAATTTCTGATTTAATGTTAGGTGCAGTTCTGCCGTGAACTGACTATGATTTTGGATGATTTTGGATGATTCATTTATCTGAACTGTGACTTAATTTTCTCCCCTGTGAAATGGAAGGAAAAGTTCTACTTATTCTGTTTATATTTCACAGGGATATTATGGGGCTCAAGGAAATTAATATTCTTAAGAAAGCATAGTGTGACATACATTTGATGAGTCTTAGTATTGTTGGGAATAGCAGGGGAGAGTTCTTCAAGGAGATGCCATCTTACAAGGTCGCATCCTTTAAAATCACGACCAGAAAATACTGGAATGTCTTGTGCATTAGTGGGCCTACTTCCTTGTGAGCCTGGAAGCCTGAGATGGGTTTGCCTTGATGTCTTATCTACCAAGACCACACATTCAGATCAACTAGAACAAATAACCGAATCGGTTTTTCCTTTTCTTTATTTTAGTCACTGGAGCTAACAATTCATGGTATCGCTAGTCTATTTTTATATTCCATAAGAGGCTTTCCAATTGTTAACTGAATGAAAGGAGCAACATTTGTTTTTTAGATGAATTTTATGGGGTCATTGGAAAAGTGGATGTGTAGACAGGCCTTGTATATTTTGACAGCTAACATCCACAGTGTTAAACAGTGACAACTATTAGAAATGACAAGCCTTGGTATCTAAATTATAGATTTAGTCTGGAGAATCTAGATTGAGTACCATGCTTAATTGCATGTCAAAAGGCTGTTTTGAGGAGGTTGTCTAGATAGGTTTTTTGTTTTTTTTTCCACTCAGTTCTCTTGTTTTATACTCTGAAACCTTG